CACACACACACACACACACACACACACACACACACACACACACACACACACACACACACACACACACACACACACACACACACACACACACACACACACACACACACACACACACACACACACACACACACACACACACACACACACACAAACAAAAGACACTCCCTAACCCTACTGTTTATTCGTAGATATCTCCTAAAGCCTACAAATAAAGTGTGAAATGTAGGCCTGTTACATTTGTTATTGAGCGATATATATTATACACACTGTTCTGCTTTCGGCACTGACCTCAGCAGCTGTTCTCACTGTAAACATCGCGTCACAATGAAAGCAGTTGTGTTGAGAAAAAAAATAGCCTAACATCCAGGGGACATGTGATTAGTGAGTAAACAAACCGTAAAGGGCAGAAAGTCTGATGCACATTTGATCATCTCAAATAACTTATAATCACAACGGGAACAGTTTGCAGAGCTGTGCTTCGTTGACAGAAGTCCAGCCATGCGTCACAGGAGAATACGTCAGTGTACCCTCGGTTATAGCTCCTCTCGAGACACTCCTCTCTCCTCTAAATCCGTGTATCCTCGGTTACGGCTCCTCCAGACAGCCTCCTCGATAATCGATCCTCGACGAGCCTTTAGAGACATTTGTTTTCCTTCGAGACGGCGCGCCGACATCCGTTTCCGGGTCGCTGCCGGAGTACCTGGGAGTCTGGGACGCAAAAATTATAGAAATGAGAAACGGCTCATTTCCCAGGACTCGCTCGCGTCTGCTTGACGCCGGGACGACCGGCTGCCCTCCCCGACAGGCGCACGGACGCGAGGGCCCGCTCATCACTGCGCGCACAAGTGCGACCGCAGTTTTAATTGTAATTGTTTTTTGTACTTTATGATACTCGTTGCCTTTCTGGTCTTTCTCCCACCTTTTCTGCCAGATCTCCATCCCCTTTTTTCTTAATTTCTGCTTTTCCTTCTCCTTTTCCAAGTCAAACTGGTAATGTTATTTCCTTCTGTAGTGCACTTTTTGCTAATTTATCAGCACACTCGTTCCCTTTCACCCCCTCATGTGCAGGCACCCAGCAGAACTGCAGATCTATGCCGCCTCTGTGAAGTCTTAACAAGCTATGGTTAATTTCTATGAGTAGGGAGAGTGGGGTAAGTAGTGCCAATTTTTACTTAAAGTGCCTTTAAAGCAAGGGGATTACAGTAATGCCTCCAACTAAAATATGTACATATAGTTTAGGATGTTGTGCATCCCTGGGAACAATCACTTCGGATCTTAAATAAACTGTTTGAGAAATATAGCTTTAGAAAAAAAAGTGGTTTTGTGGCACAACTTGCCCCCGGTGCGGGGTAAGTTGTGCCATTAGAGACAATACACTGGGGTAAATTGTGCCATTGATAATTGAAGTAAAACAGATCATTTTAATCTCACAAACAATAATGCTATATAAAAGCAAGACACATTCAATACAAAATTATTTATTTAATGTTTATTTAAAGTTTTAACAACATCAAAGGCCACTTTAAAAATGAGCAACAAATCATCTGCATCTGAATCTCTTCACAGATTCGGCCTACTACTGAACATCCCACTTGTCAATGCTGCAGGGGAATGTGAATTTATACTCCCTTCTGGCTGTACCACCAAGTTTTTGTGGTGTGGGTAGTTTCTTGAGCACATCACCTCTAGGGATGACTCCTTCATCATTCTCTCTAAATGGGTGTCTGCACTGTCGTCACACCAGTTTCATCCATGTTGTACATCATGTGTGGAGGGAAGCTGTACCTGAAATGAAATAAAAGGTAGTGCTGATGATCAGAGACGTTTAAAGCAGTTTTAACATACTTGGATGTGGTTGTGTGTGTAAATGTCAGAGGACAGAAGACCCTCTAGAGATGCTGTGCCCTCTCGCCAGGCTGCCAGGTTACCTAGTCAGGGTGTGGGTGGGTGGGTGGGTGAGAGAGAGAGAGAGAGAGAGAGAGAGAGAGAGAGAGAGAGAGAGAGAATCAGCATGTCAAATGATTATTAAGTTACCTGTCCTTCACTTTAGAGAGGTTATCAAAGAACTCCCCCACGTTGTGCTTATTAAAGGCAGTAGCTCTTCCAAGAGAGGTTGCTTCAGGAACGCGGCATGCCAAATGGTAGCGTGCTTTAAAGGCGTTGAACCAATCAGGTCCTAGAAAAGGTTAAAAGTTTATCAGCACATTGCAGTTTACATTCAGATAAGTTGAAGTTATCCGCTCCAAATAACTATCCAATAGCCTATACTTGATCTAACCTGCTTTTTCGTCTCTGGTCCAGCTGGCAGGCATGTCAATGCTATTTCTTTGTGCGAACTCAAAAGCCAGTTCACGGCATTTCATGACACCTATGCCATGAAACATTGCTGCTAGTGTCTTAATATGGTCAGCCAGCTCTTTCTCCATGTTCTCATTGAAGACTCGTTTGGCGACTGCTGTTCTTTCATAGCCTGGCTTTGTTACTTCTCCTATTTTTTTCTTATCCATATGTCTTTTTATGGTCATCCTGCAGATCTTCATCTCCTTTCCAACCTGACGTATGGTCTTCCCCTGTTGCACCTCTTTCACTGCTCTTTCCAACTCCTCAAGAGGAGTTGAAACCCTGTCTGTCTTCCTTTTGTATGTGCATGGCATGATGGATTTTGGTCTAAAATTAAGAATGTCACATAGTTTTAGTGATCAAATGTAAGAATACAATGTACAATAACAATAAAATACAATAAAGTAATATATAGTAAATAATCATAAATTGGGGTAAGTTGTGCCACTGGCACAACTTACCCCAGGCCCTTTGGCACAAATCACCCCAAGCCCACCATTTTGAAAAAAATGCATCCCCCAGCTTTTTTGAGCTAGCATCATGCTAACTGTATAGACTCATGGCGTAGCTTACTAAAGCACTAAAACATGTGTGAACTGTTTTTAAAGTTGTCTAAATTGTTCAAACACAGCAATCAAAAAACCTTGATCATAGAAATTTTACTTTGGAGGGCAAAAAATTGTTTTTTTAACTTAAATGTGCTTACCTCTCAAGCCATGTGACTCCCTTCTTTGCAGGATGATCGAAATGGATGCCTCTTCAAAAATATGTGGTCACATGACCAACTTCTTCTATGGTTTTCTAGATAACAGGGGTGGCACTACTTGCCCCTTGGCACAAATTACCCCACTCTCCCTATGTCTTCTCTGACAGTTGTTGTTGACTGTATGCTTTTTAATATGGATAATGAATCCATGTGTGCATATCACCACCCTATCTGGTCTGACCTCTTCAACCCACTGTAATCCTATTATTATTGCCAGCATTTCTGCTGTGTAGTGTACAGCACTACAGCAGTAGTTGATCTGACGCTCTTTTTGAGATCAATATTTTAAAGTCTGGGATATACCAACTCCAACACACTCTTCCTTGTTCTTAGAACCATCTGTGTAGTTTGAGGTAATTGTGACAATTATTCCTGAGGTACATATTTGTTTTGATTCCTACTTCATTTATTTGCCACTCTCTTTTCTTTTCTAGAATACTCATATCTATATTTACTATAATAATGTAGTTAATAAATGTATTCTTATGGTTTAGTCTTTCTCAGGCTACAACGTGGTTAAGTTTACGAATATTATTAAGGAATACAAATCCCTCTTTGCAATGTATACCATCCTCTTTAGGCTTTTCAATCACAATCATTAAACTGGAATAAATACAATATTGTTAACATGAAAATATGATTTAATGTTCGTTGTTTAGAGTTATTCTAAGGCTTTACTCATTGGGAATTCGGTATGAGATAGAGCACAATGTTGAGATGTCAAATCTGCCTGTTTTACACACTTTGACCAAGAGGGGGGTTCAAATGAAGCCTCATGAGATGAACCCTTTTGCGAACAAATTGGCTGGAAAGCTTCAAAGCTTCATAAAGCTTCATCTCGCCATCACCAATATTTACCATTGGAAAAAGCCATGGGGGAACACTACTGAATGGATTTTTCCTTTACTTGTCCATGTAAACCTACGCCCCTGGTAATTGGAATATTCCCAGCAATCTTGTATGTTTTGTTTGTGATATTTCCTTCCACACAATCCCATTGGTTGGTTTTCTTCTAACAGATTAAACGGTTCTTTGTGTGCTACTGCCCCCCACAGGACGGAATCAAATTGCATAAATAACTATTAATGTTATGGAACAAATTTGAACAGGAGGTAGTACTTTTTACATGGCATTATCCTGAAACTCTAAGTCTACAGTACAAATACTGTTCCAAATCAACGGAGTATGTTTTGTTGTCACACAGCAGGAGGTTGCAGCATTTCCCTGATGTAAACTGCCTGGCAGGTTTTAAATAACTTTCATTGTTTCGAGTCTTGCATTACATGCTGTAAAAAAAGATTCATTTAAAAAAAACTGCATATGTTCCCCCCAAACTTTTTTCATAGAAATTACTTTAGGAATATAACCTATAAGTAGTTTATTTGAGTAATTATTTTTATATAGTACTGATACATATCTAAAATAAATAACTGCTGTACATTGGTTTGCACTTCACATGTTGCAGCCCCACACAATAAAATGGGGAAGTGTCACAGTACCTCTGTGGTTTTCACACAGAGTACAGCTGCTTAACAGGTCAGCTGTGAGAAGGACAAAAACAAAACCTGGAGACATGAGCATAGAAATGACAGAAACACGCAGAACTTGTCTGACAACTAGCCAGAAGTATTAACATGTTGTTTCCATCTAAAGTCAACAAAAATCAGCAATGTGACAAACATTGAGAAAGACATTGCAAGTGGTTTTTGATGAAAGTGTCGGCTAAATTAAATTGAATTAAATGTATAAATTACACTTAAGAAAGGGAAACTCCAATGTATTGAAATCCTGTGTGTTTGCGAAATGGGGAAGTGGCACATTTCATAACTTAAAATAATCATCCAAACGGAACTTGTCAAATAAGACATATGTAAAAACCAAGGAAAGTTTATGATTCAGTGGCACAAAGGGTTTATTTACAACACATCAAAGTACAGACAAAATAATAACAAATGCCTAATATCAATGTGACACAACCAAGACCTAATTGTCTATTTATTTGTAGAAAACAGTGCTGTGTAGTCCTACAGTATTGTGATCATTTTTCCTCATTAAATAGACAAACACACTGAGTGACTTTTATTAATAACAGAATATGTTGTATGCCATTACAGAATATACAGTACACTGGTTGGCAGAGAAAACCGCACATTTGAAACGGCAGTAAAAATAACTACCTTACCTAGAGTCTTTTGACTAGACAACTTTTGTTATTGGTTGGCACTGAGCAGCGATAGCATTACCATTGACTTCTGGGGGCATGTTTTTTTTTTTCAAAAGTAACATTCACTTTACCCATCCTTCATTTAATTCTAAATTCTTGGTAAGAAGATGTTTTCTCTGTTTATAAGCTATTTCTCTGCAGGGTGAGGTAAGAAGGAGTGGACTCAACATGTAGTCCAGTCACAAGCGGTTCCTTAACTTCAGAACAATTCATTTGTCCATAAACTGAGAAAATGGTGACGTAAGACTGGTTTTGTGCAAATATCTCAGGCAGTGAGGAAAAGGAATACAGAGGGTGGAGCAATGGGCTGGTTACTCGCCAACAGGAATGGGGTTGTCATAGCCTGCTCCCTCCAGGTCGTCGACTCGCTTTCTGCGCGTCTCAGGAGGAGGTCTTGGTGGTGGATTCTGAGGTGGATTCTTCATGCTGTCATCTGGCTTTCTGGCTATCTCCTTCTTTGGAAGAATGGGCTCCCAGTGTTCACCTCGGATAGCTGCCTAGAAAACAAAGTGTTGACAAAGAATAGTCAGTAGTGTTTGGCTAGAGTAAGATAAAGTTAAGCATACCTATAAACTATTATAATCAACAATAATAAGAGATATGTGATAGTGGCAATTAGATAAACTGAACTACTTGGAAAGCTTTATATCTTTGGTTTATTGCCACATCTAGGTTTGTTTAAGAATTCAGGCACACCTCTGACTGGTCAGATTTCATAACAAAAGGGCCATGTCTCAACAGAGATACTAGTCATGAAACAATCTCTTCCTTGTTTCCACTTCCTTGTTTCTGAGAACTGGCCACTTCAAGTCTAATCCATCACCTTTATTAAAGTTAATATACAAACTGGAGATTCATTTAGCAAAAGCTGCCCACTTACTGCAAGGTAGATGATGCTGGCAATGCCCAGGCACACACACCCGAGGACAGTAGCAAGCAAAAAACCTGCAGGTACACTGAGTCTAAGAAAGACAGAAAGGAAATGTAAGGACAAAACACAATAAGCCAAGTATGTGTCCATTGTGGAAAGACTGACTGTGAATAACAGGAATGCAGTCTAAAAAAGGAAAGTGACGAGTGTAACACTCACGCAGCATGTAAAAATGCTCTGACATAGTAGTTCCTTGTCAATGGCCCAAAGGATTTCACACATACAGTGAAGCAGTACTGGCCCCTGAGAGAGAACAAGACACAGGAGTGAGCAACAATATTCAGGCAAATCATCAGTGAACCTGAGCCTTTAAACATATACAGTATACACGTTGCAGACAAAGTAAATCATGAAAATCACTTACGTTCTCTCCACACTTGTGCCCTTGGTCCTCTTGCTTCGTGGATACTCAAGTAGACACACGAATGCCCCAGCAGCACTAGTCATCTGTCAAGACTTTTTCATTTCAAAAGATTCACTCGTCACATCACAACTATAATAGGACAATCATTTATATTAACATCTGTGACCGTGAGCAGGTTTACTTGGACTAATTTCTTTCTGGCCTACGAAAAACTATGATTATTTAAATAAAAGTACCCACGTTTGACACTAATTATATTGTCCAGCTAAACAATACAATATAAGGCCAGGCTACAATGTTAACTTGCCAAAAATAAATAGTGGTAGTGGATTTCATCTGTTTCAAGCTTGTTTTTTTTATGAATTATTTCACAGCATGCAATTAAAAGGCTAAATAAGACTTTAAACGCATGCTAGTAAATCTACAAGGTGTGAAACTTGATAATGAACACTTTCAAGAAGAGACATCTTGATATCTGCTTTATGCACAGTGTAAAGGATACATAGCATAAGCAGCAAACTGCCAGCCTCTGAACTGTCCAGCCACCCCCACAATGCCTCCAGTGAGGAGAACTGAAAGAAGGAAGCAGAAAGATCAAATTAAAACTTATAAAAAAAAAAGACACAAACGTTGAGTCTGTTTGTACATCGACTTGATTGTTGATTAAAACAGTTTGGATTTATAGCTGATTATGTTATAAAGTTGAAATTGTATGCATACAAAATATAAGATTAATGAAAAATATTTCAGTTTGAATTATAATGCTCATTTACCCATGAAACGTAATCAGATACTAATATGTTAAGTTCAGTAATATTTGTATTGTATCTTTAGATAAAGTTGTATACTCACTAAGTCCTGAAGCCAGAGCCTGCTCATTGGCCCACATCGCCCACTCTATTTTCCCCATCGCGATCACTGAAGCGGCCCCTCTGAAAACTCTGAAACTCACCGGAGAGCGGCTCACAGTTATATTGTTTCTACAAGGAAGAACATGCATTTACGAGATGTGAGGTGTGCATGTAGAATGAGAGGCAGGGCTACCGATAGCCGATCCCTTTTCTGGCGTCATTTCCGAACAGTGCAGGACTACATCGGGAAGGGGCGGGGCTAAACAGGCAAACATACCAGACAGGTAAATAATAATGAGAAAACGGACAGGTGAAGTAGGACCTGCGTTAATGACATACGCAAATCTTTTTTTAGGGAGGTTATTTTATATAATATGTTTATATTCTTCTTCAAGTTCTTCTTATTTTGCCATAGATAAATGAATTCATTTTATGTTTATTTGTTGTATATTTGACCCATAAGACTATTTTTTTTAATTGAAAGTCAGCTTGGGTTGAATGTAATTATAAACATTTTGGCTTTTCTGATTGGGCACATATTATTTTCCATCCTTTGCACCTGTCCCTAACACAAATTGTATTAACGCTGGAAGTGGAAATAGAAAATACATAACAAGAAACAATTATATTGACTACAATATAATTTATTGTTACAGAATACAATCGACAGCATTTAAGTATGTAATTGTAGCAGGAACACTGGGTTCAGGTAACTGTCCCACACTAATCTCTAGGCCCTTCTTCTTTGCTTTAATGGCGAGTCGCAACCACTTGGAGCATTATCCCTACCTACTGTTGATTTGTTGAATCTTCATGTTAAATCTTTGTCCTCAGACCAGTGTTTTTGAGAAACTTGAAGATCAGTTTGTTAACTTCATTTCTTGAGTTACTTGTGAATATTGACTTGAAATCCATGTCCTTAATGTTATGTTGTTCCACTGCCAGTTGGATGTTTTCCAATCAGATGCAGTGATGAGTTTAATCCAGAGTGACCCAATTTTATCCTGCTGATAATGTTCTGTTACCTTCTATTACTGCAAGTGCTTTCCATTCCTACTTCCCTTTGTATCTGGTATAAATGTCTTCCTTTAGTGTTACTGTCCATTAACTTTTGCCATTGTTGCTTGATAATAACTTTCGTAAATGATTTGACTTCTGCTCTACTGATAGGTACTATTAAATCAATCTGATTTGCTTTCAATCCATTTTGTGCCAGTTGATCCACTACCTCTAATACCCACATGCGCTGGAATCCACACAAATCGAACAACAATTCCCAAATGTATACTAACCTATACATGGTGTGCAACATTTTCATGCAGAATATCCTGACGACAAGTTATTTATACTTTCCAAAGCTGCGCTGGAGTCAGAGCAAATGACCACTCGCATTCCTTAAGGAATGCAAAGTTAAGGTTAAAGTTAAGGTTAAGTACATAATTCCGAAACACAAACACTTTCTTTTTGAATTGTGTTACTTTCCCAACTTGCTTGTACAGTTTGTTTAGTACAGTGAGTATCTTCATGGCCCTGTAGATTTGCCCAGTAATTAACAATTAACTGTTTTCTCCTCAAAGAAATGGATATTTCTCCAACCTCTACCTGAAGTGCCGACACTGGTGTAGATCTGACTGCCCCACAGCATATCCTTAGTGCTTGTGCCTGGACTCTATCTAATTCTTGAAGAGAAGAGTATATGCAGCTGAACACTATTAGTCCGTATTCTATTACTGATCTAATTAAGGCTGTGTATACGCTCCTCAAAGCAGCGTTATCAGCCCCCCACTTAGTGCCTGCCAAGCACCTCATAACATTTAACACCTTTTTACATGTATCTACTTTATCAATATGAATACTCCATGTGACTCTCTCGTCCAACCATAGAAACTTAAAAGTCTTCACTTTCTTTAGTTCTTGTCCATAAAGTTTTAACCTAACCTCCTCAACTATCCTTTTTCTCGAAAAAAATAAAGTTTCAGTTTTTTTACCGACAATCTAAACCCCCATGTCAGAGACCATCTTTCAATTTCCGTAATAGCTTCCTGAATCTTACCTACAATATAATTTACATTTCTACCCCTTTTCCAAATAGCTCCATCGTCTGCAAAAAGTGACTTACCAATATCGGATCCTACTTGTATATATCATTTATCATAATAGAAAACAAAAGAGGACTGATTACACTCCGCTGCGGGGTTCCATTCTCAACTTCATGCCTTCGAGAATATGAATTGCCAACTTGGACTCTGATGGCACGGCCAAACAAAAAATCCATAATCCAATTATATACGTTACCTCCCAGACCCATAATGTCCAGTTTTATTAATAATCCTTCCTTCCACATCATATCGTAAGCTTTTTTCACATCAAAGAATACAGCTACAACACACTCCTTATTCACTTGAGCTTTCCTGACTTCAGATTCCAGGCAGATCTAAAGTACTCCGCCCTCTTCTAAACCCACTCTGATATGGAGTCATTCATTCATTTTTTTCAACATAGTACGTCAGCCTTTCTGTTATCATTCTTTCCATAAGTGCGATGTCAGAGCTATAGGTCTATAACTGACTAGACTGGTTGGGTCTTTCACATGTTTTGTAATAAGAATAATGACAGACTCTTTCCATATTACTGGCAGCTTCCCTTTCTCCCAGATCTTATTGTACATCTCCAGCAGCTTTCCTAATGCAAAATCACTCAATTTGGCCAACATTATGTAACATACATTATCTTTCACAGGAGCAGTCATTGTACACTTACTTAGTGCTCTTCTCAACTTTTGAATAGAAAAAGGTACATTTACAACACTCTGCGATGTGAATCTTGTGAAATGTCTTTCCTCATATACATTATGATGTTCTTCTAACACTTCCTGTCTCATGATCTTACCTTCTTCTGTCACATTTTCAGAATAAATAACTTTTACAAAATTCTTAGCTAGAATTTCTGCCTTTTCCATAGCACCAGTGGCAATTTCCCCTCCATTCTCTAACACTGGCAGGTTACTTTGCTGTCTAATTCCATACGTTATCTAATGGTGTAGTTATCCCAATACTCGAACAGAATCCTCTCCAACATTCCCTTTTTGCTCTTTTAACAATTTTCCTTACCTGAGCCTGTGCCTTTACTCTAATAAGTTGATTATTGAATGTGTCTTTTTTAACTTTCCAAACAGCCTGATCTTGTTTCGGATTGCATCATGACATTCTTTGTTCCATCAGGGTACCATCTTAACACTTTTACTAAGTTTACCAGTTGTATTCCTTCAATTAGCGCTTTTAAATTATATTTGAAGTAAATTGCTCATTTATTTCATCAATACTTTTTGTTTTAGCAAAATTCCATCTCATTATACCATCTAGCTCAACCATTAGTTACATCAAACTTGATTATAATCGGAAAATGATCACTCCCAATACTGTTATTTGCCAATACTTCCCAACTGCTACCAGAAGCTAATTCACTTGATACCAGAGTTAGATCTATCGCAGACTCTGTTCCATCTCTAAAATTGAGTCTTGTACCTTGCCCATTATTTAAACAAACACATTCCTTTGCCTCCATTAAATCCTCCACTACCTGTCCGTTGTAATCTGTTGATCTCCCTCCCCACATTGTATTATGTGCGTTTAATCACCACACCATATTATTTCATTTCCTTGACAAAGTCTGTCTAATTCCTAATTTTGAGTTTATTACATGGATTGTAAAAATGGCTGCTGCTTCCACTATTGTTTTCCATCTTGACCTCTTTTTTGTTTGTTGGGCAACATTCACCACTTTTCCAATAAAGGCCACACATTTGTACTTATTAACAATCAATGCATCCTATCACACACTTATGTGAACATATTGTGGAGCTTTCCTTTGCCTGTGGGAGTTTTGGAAAATCTTTTGAAGAGAATATACTTGCTGCTACTTGGGATTTCCTAGTTATGTTTTGTGATACCTGTTCTGTTGCTTCAGCATATGAGACTTTGTTTTGTACTTTGTATCTCTGTACCTCCTTGGCCTTTTTCTGCACTTCGCAGCCCTGATACGCAGCACTATGTTCCCCACCACAGTCACAACATTTCACCTTGGCACCTGCAGCACAACAACCATATTCATGTTCTCCCGCACATTTTGGACACCTATAGGCTTTGTTGCTTTGCACTTGTCTGCCACATGCCCAAACATTTGGCATTTAAAGCACCGCAGAGGTTTAGGGATGAATTATCTTACTGGAAAGTTCATGCAACCTATCATTATCTTCTGTTGAATTGATTCTTCAAACTGAAGAAGAACAGACAAACTATCCACTAGCGTACCCTGACACCTAGTAGGAAGACGTTTAACTACTGACACTTTGCCCCCTTTAAATTTATTTCTTGAGTTCTTCAATGCTGATGTCTAGCGGAACTCCACTGATCACTCCACGTATTTTCCGATTTGCTCCGCGAACATGGCATTTAATTCGAACTTCATTCAGGGTCTTAATTTTTCAGTAACTTTGCATTTGATCATTTCTACCAACATCCGTCCTTTGCTCAGAAATCTTGCTTGCATTATCGATCCAATTTATTTGTGAATCGCTTTAGTTAAGGCCATTGGGTAATTGAATTGCGAATTGTTCACCAAACGCCACAATCACTTCCACTCTTCATTCTCATTCCTTTTATTTGTTCTTTTCATTCCATTCTGCGAATCAGACTCACTGAGACCGTCACTGACATGTCTATCTTCTTTCTTGAACTCTTTGTTCTTACTTCATTCATTCCATCCTCCTTCAGATGCACTTTCCATATCCTATACTCTCCAGGACTCAGAGACGCCATTTCACCAGCTGCTCTCAATATCGCACTCACCGTCAATCGACACCAGCCCCAACAGATCTACTCCAATCAAGCGTCTTCCACTGACCCACCATCTCTAGGACCTGAACTCACCATCACCTAAAGTAGGTAAACTCCTCCCGCAGAGCCAACCCTTAATTAACTCAGGGGTATTTAAGACACCCATGGCCGTATCTACCATTGAGGTCACCGAGGTCCGGACCTCGGTAATATTTTCCGAGCTGTATATAACAAAACTTGTGAAATAATTGCACTAAACGGGGTTCTTTGTGGTACTTCCATTTACTGACCATGGGGGCGCTGCATAACTACGTAGCCTCGGTTAAAGCAAACAAAAGAAGACGACATGTATCAACAAACCACCGCAGCCCGGACTTGCAGCGGAGGAGTGATAAGGTATCTAGAGATCTGAGTCCATCGGGCTGCTTGTGTTACTGTTCATCAGGACATCATATGACCAACAGATCCTGTGTGAACGCACTACGTTAGTCAGTGGACGTCCGACAACATGCACACTAACTTATATTGCAGCTTTAGGCTATACTTTGGTTTAAATTGCGTGAATAAACTAGCTAGAGAGCTAAAGTTAATCACATTCATCCAATGTCAGAAGGATTACCTTTTAACAAACGTTGTAATGGTTTTCTTTCATTTCAATTTGAGTAAAACATTGAAGATATAACATTGTATTGTTTTCTTTTTACACTGACTCAGATATAATGAAAAGACTACGTCAGTCGAAGCTCAGCTTTGGTAAGGAAGAGACAGGACAGGCAGAGAGAAAGTGATGGAAGTCAGGGAGGAACTGCAGGTACAGTCACACAAAGATAATGTAGGCTTAATAAGCCCATCTATTTATCTATCTATAACAATAGTCTTCATTTACAATAGGCATAATTTTAAAACATACATCTATTACAGTTATGATGTCATAATAACATACAATTGTATAAAACACAATTTCCTTACATCTTTGTTCTCTTTTTGAGAATCAAACGAAACAGATTTAAATAAAAAAAATAATGCAAACGAACAAGTGAAATGAACTAAACTGCTGAATTGCTTTTAATTCACGGGCAGGAGCGACAAGTGAGGAGGAGCAAAAAGTGAACAACGAGGGAGAGATTGAACAAAGAGAAAGCGTAGAGGACAGAGAGAGTAATGAACAGGAAGAAGACAGAGAGACTCAAGACGATGGAAGAGAGGCTGCAGGTTATGGAAAGGAGAGAGACATGGAAAATGAATGTTGACAATGTGTTGTGATCATTTTAGCCTCTTCTCCATGTCCAGATCATTAATAGTAATAATCAACTGATTCTTATGTATTACACTTTCAAAAATAATTGATGCTGACATTGTCAGCCCACTGACATGGGTTGAAATCAATATATTATCCAATATGTGACCCCCCACAGGACTTAAAAAGCACCTAACTAGATCATGAAAATCCCAAAAATCTCGGGGGGTATACCCCGAACCCCCTAACATGTTTGGACCTCGGTATTTAGGAAATCCTGGATACGGCCCTGAAGACACCTGTTGCATCATGGCAGCCGTTTGCTGCCTGCCTGTTGCCACATGGCCACCTTAAGGGTAGGTAAATTGTCAGATGCTGGATGTCATGTTGGATCAGCAACTTAATATTCCTCATGTGCATCTTATATTAGCACTGAATTACATTCATTTGTATTAGCCTATCTGTCAGCTTGTATCATGTTCACCCGTTCTTCCGTTGGCCAAGTATGATGCCTGAAGTTCCTGTTAACCTGGAGGGATGTGTGTTGTTCCTTAGTACTTTAGTATTAATCATAGTGGTGGTACGTTTATAATTACCTACTTAAAAGATTTAAATGTGTACTTCTGTATTGTAATCTAATGTACAATGTGTTTTTCCTAGGTGGTGTCAGCTGCTGTTTTGCTACAGTTAGGTTTTGCTTGAGTTAGGTTTTTGTTTGAATTTAGTTTTGCTGTCTTATATTTAGGATTTTAGTGTATTTTGCTGTTAGTCGTTTGGACCAACTGGATAATTGTTTCTTCTGCTTTATACTAATTTTGGAGCCAGCTAGTGGTGGAGGCACACAGTCTGATTCCCTTCACGGCTTGTACGGTTCACGGTAGGAGCACTGAGACACAGTTTGCAGTGAGATTTGGTTTGCAATGAGTTTTGGTTTGCAGTAAGCACCGGTGATGGGTAAGTGGGACACAGCCCTGTTAGACTGCCTCCCCCTGGCTGGCATCATGCCCACTACCTTTTTTCCCCTCATTGATTTTTAGTAATTTTCTATATAAAGTGTTTTTACCAAGAATAAACAAATACATGTGATTGACATATTGAAATAAACTGTTAAACTTTTTCATTATAATTGAACCAAGTCTGTCTTGTGTCAGTCACAAACTTGTAGAGCCTTCTTATTTCTGAGGTGTAATTAAATATCTCCTGGGGCGAAATTCCCCAGGTGGCGTTGTCAAGCATTTTGGTATTTGGGTGGCTCTGCCTTTAAAAACGACCGCCCGCCACATAATGATGGTCTTAAATTATATTTTTGCAAGTTAAACATTAAAAAAATGATGATGGTCTCCTTAACCCTGTAAGGGCAGCCCACGGTTGTAATTTTACAACATTACTTTAAGCTATCCTAAAAAAGTCAGTAAATGTTTTGTTTTTTTAAAGGCTACATTTACATAGTCAAAAGGTCATTTTGTTCAGCCTCACAATGCTATTGGGTAGTAAATGTGTGTATAGGTCCTGCCCTCTGGCCATACACTCACACAACTTCCGAATCTTCAAACGAGCAACATCTCTTTGTTTTATTGGACTGGATTTGGCAGTAATTTTTTTTGGTGATTATTACAATGTCTAGAACATGTACATATTTAGTTATTGTGGAATACATTCATCAAATTTGATTTTGAGCAGCTTATGTCTTTGTTGTAATATTACAACACTGGGTCAGTGTGGTAGTCAAAATAGCATGTGTCCCTGTCATGGAGATTGCCCTTATATGTTCACATATGGAAATAAAACTAATAGAAATATAATGTCTTTGATAATTCACTATACATGTAACTAAGTTCTAAATGTGTCCTCTGTTAAGATTTTGAATTAAGACCAGAATTGAATAAATTAATACATTATTATACTGATAAAAGTATGTGAAATTATATCTGTAGCAATATTTTAAACTATACTTGTATCTTATCAGTTAGTTACACACAGTTAGTTACACACATACATTTAACTCTGGTTCTGGCAGAAACGGTTCTTTCTGAAATGTGTTGGGACACTTGGATGTATCCCTTTTTAGTATGATAATTAGCCTGTTATCATTAGCCAGACAGCATTGTGACTTGTTGAACTGGATTACCTGCATGTGTGGGTGTATGTATTTCTTTTATAATAGGCAGGATTGTGTGACTTGTTGAACTGGTTTACGGTTTACCTGTATGTACTGTATGGGTGTAGGTATTGCTTTTATTATAATAGGCTAAGTCAGGTAGTATTGTGTGACTCAAGTGTATGTACAATGCAAATAGGATTCAGATACTTGTTGCATCGGGACACCTGGAAGGGGTCGGTGCATGCATTCCTTTTAGTATGATTGTAGGCTAAGCCAGACAGAATGAACACTTGTCCCACCACCCTATCTATTCCTTCAGGTAATCTATTACTATAATAAGCATATGTATTATTGATACATATTAATTACTTTTTCCATGTCAGTAGCATCAAGCAATACATGAGAGGCAAGCCACACCCATGGGGGTTCAAAGTGTGGGTGAGAACTGGAATCTCTGGAATGATCCGTGACTTTGATGTCTACCAAGGCAGTGTCAATGGGATACGAGCCACGTCTGAACTTGTATTGTCAGGTGATGTTGGGATGAAGCTTACCTACATGCTTCCAGAAGGTCAGAACTACAAGATTTACGCAGACAGCTACTTCACCTGTGTCCCATTGGTAGTGAAGCTCCTTGATCGTCGGATTCATTATGTGGGAACAGCCAGGTAGGTGCACTTACCCAATTGTAACCTTGAAGAGGAGAAGAGCTTGAAGAAAAAAGGGAGAGGAAGCTTTGACATCCGAGTGGAGGCCAACCACAACATCTGTGCTGTCAAATGGTATGACAGCAGAGCGGTCACACTTGTGTTATCCTTTGCTGGACCAGACCCTGTGCAGAGAATTCAACGCTGGGACAAAGCCAACAAAACCTACGTAGAAGTTGAGAGGCCTTACATTGTGGGTACTTACAACAAGTACATGGGAGGTGTGGATCCCCATGAAGTCCCGACGCTGGTACGTGTACATCTTCTGGCACACCATCCTTGCTGTGATCAACGCCTGGCTCCTCAAGCGAGAATGCAAAGCTCTAAAGATGCCAAAGCAGGAGATCCTGAACAGGAGACAGTTTCAGGCAGATCTAGCATCCTCTCTCATCTTGGTAAGAATGCATTTCTGCTATTTGCCGTTTGTAATATTTTTCTATATTTCACTGTAATATTTTTGACTTGTATCCTAATGTATTTTTGACATGTATCAGGCACCGGGAGCCCAGCACCGACGGTGACATCAAGGAGCCCGTTGAATGCTCAGAAGAGACCATCCTCAGGTGATGGGAGTCCACCAAACGGGGCCCCATCCAAGAGATCACAACCTCCACTGGATGTACGCAAAGACCTAATGGCACATTTTCCAGTGAAGACAAAGAGAGGACACTGCAGCAAAGGGTACACACAATGCACCAAGTGTGACGTCCGTCTCTGCTTTTCCGACGATATGAACTGTTTTTGGGACTACCTTGTATTCATATTTGATAAATGACTATTCATAAAAAATATGACTGATGTGTGATTATTATTCATGCTGTATCCTCCTGGGACCCAGCCCATTGACAAATGTCTACTGTAGTGGAAATGTTGTTAACATGCATCTCCTTTTACTCTTTTGAGGTAATCTATCAATCTCTGATGTACTGTACAGAGGACATCCACTGGGGTTTCCAGTGATGTCATTGGTTACAATTGCATGCTGGGAAGTTCCTCTTTCTTTTCATCCAAAATGGCTGGCATACCAAAACAAAATGTTATAGAAGCATGAGGAGAAGTCATATATTGTTGAATAATTGTTATTTTTACCATGAAAATCATATGTTTATTAACATGTGAGGAACTATATAATTACTTCTGAAAGCAATTAAATAATTAAAGTTTTGAAATAACAGCTCTTTTATAAATGTTCGTTCTAGTGGACGTCAGGACCATCTTCATGGACTTTGACTCAATATTGTTGCAGGAGACGGAACTGAAGCAGACATTTTCTGTACCAGATAGTTCAGGGAGATTCAGATTTGGAGCTCTCAGATGATGAGAGAGGTGAGGATTTCACACCTGGGATAGAGGGTCAAGAAGAACGGGGGTAAAGATGCAGGAGGCTCCATGAGCGCACAGAGACAGATAGGGACGAGCTGGAAAGACATGGCCCTCTGTGGGCCAAGAGTAGCACGTATGTATTGTTGTTTTTAGTGAAGCCATGAAAAATGAGAATTGCCTCAGGAATGCGAAGTTTGTTTCTGTGCATGGTCAACTGGAGACTACATCCATAAAACCAGTCGAGATGACCCTACAGCCTGTGCCGACTGGAGTCCAATGAGGTACTTTCCCCAGTAAATTGACTAAGTTTTAGAAGATCTGGAAAGATTCACCAAAAACCAAACTAGTTTTTTAGTGACCAAATAAACAGCAATGTTCAGATCAATTTGTTTTAAATAAAGGTGAATGTATCGTATTAATATCACTCTATAACCATAATACGTTACATAGTCTGTTAATTTTGGCTGTCTTTACAAACTAAAATGGTCCTGATGTCCTCTACAGTGGACATACTGTAACATTTAAAAATTGAATTAAGTCTAAATTGCAAGATGTTTTTTTTAAACCTAAATAGGTAGGAAATAAAAAATAAAGATTGGAAAACGTTTTTTTTCCTCGGTTCCCTGATATACTGATAGTAAGCAATCAATCCTGCAAATCAACCCTTAGTTGTTCAATATATTTATTCAGACAATGTGAGTAGAAATACAGAAATTCTGCTCCCACCTAAGCCCAACGTTGCAATATTACATTTCCCTAAAAATTACCAAAACGTAAAAGATTATGAAAACTCTTTCATTTCTGCTCCAGAGGCTCCCTACAACAACATCTGAAAGGTTTAAAAATAAATTCTAATGTTTTCTATATTTTGGCTTTACATGGTTAAATACATCACAGACCGTAAAATTCAAAGCCATACAGGCACAATCATGTGCTCAGATTGGGCAGCCATCACAAGGTCAGCTGTACAAAATATAGCTACATTTGACTACATTTTTATTTTTGCTGAAATGGCTTCATTATTGCTGGAAATGTGTCCATTTAGGGCTGCAGAGCATCATACAGTATGTTTAGGCATCCCATCAGATCCAATTAGATGCTGAGTGGGATCTTCCACAACACGAGGGCCTGGTCCAGCCTTAAACACAAACAACGAAAGATCATTAGGAAGTTATCCTCTGAAATTGTATCTGTGTTAACATGGAAATACACCATTTAAAGCCTTGCAAATAAAGTCTTTACTTGAATAGAACTGATGTGTAATACAGCATTCATCTGTATTCATGAACTCATTCACTTAGTCTAACATCATTTTAGCAGAGGAACCCAAATCTACCACAATCTTCAACTGAGGTAAGGCAACACAATGTTACGTAAGGGCAGTTAAAGGTGGGGTAGGTAAGTTTGAGAAACCGGCTCGAGATACACTTGTTGTTATATTCCATGGAATGCTCTTAACATCCCGATAGCAATGAATATCTGAAGTGCTTTGACAACAAATCCATACAAAAATGTCATCTGTAGAAGCCGTAGCGCTGTAAAAAGTACAACCAATCCGTTTAGCCGGGCCGCTAAACGGATTGGATTGCCGCCCTGTCTGTCAGCCTTCCATCTCGTGCCCTCATTGGGCGTGCCGTCATTGGGCGTGCCGTCATTGGGCGTGCCGTCATTGGGCGTGCCGTCATTGGGCGTGCCGTCACTGGGCGTGCCGTCATTGGGCGTGCATTGCAGCAGTACTTCAATGACTCGCCAGCAACAGGCGGCCACTTTCACCAGTCTGCTGACGTCATGTGCGCGTTCATGTGTGTTGGAGGAGGTGCTCTGTAAGGAAGTCTGAAGGAAGGGGCGGATTCTTTTCGGCTGTGTACTTTCAAATTTTAGTGCACTCGAGCCGGTTTCTGAAACTTACCTACCCCACCTTTAAAGGAAGTGTAGACATCAATTGAAATGTATCTAGCAATCTGATAACTGATATCACATTTATTTTCAAGACAATGTGCAGCCTTAAGAAAACACACCAATACATATAAATCAAAACAGAAAACATTGATTTTAGGTTGTTGTAACATTATAGAACAACTGAGCAACAGAGGGATTATATCAGTGGGTATGTTTGTGTACCTTTGTACTAATAATGTAGCTGATTCCTTTTGGCATAGGCTCTAGACCAATAGCCTGTTTCAGCTCCTCGGAAAGAGCAGCTTGGTTAACTGGAAGGCCCTGAATAAACCTGCAGAGAAGGAAGAAACACTCAATGACCCATTTCAAAGACGCTAACAAACCTTAATAGATAGTATACAACAGCTTATAGGAGCCACACAAACACCCATCTATCAGTGTATATTTATGTACATTAGTTAAATGTTTTGATAAATCAAGTAGTTTGTATGACAGTTATTTTTTGAAGACCTAAAGCCAACTAGGTCGGGTATCTGTCCACTCACTGTCCTCCGTTGCTCTCAGGGGGGAAGAAATGTTGCACTGCCTGAACAAACTCGGGAACATGCTGCTGCAGAGTGTAGATCACAGCGTTGGGGCCTGCATCAAATGTGTAGGCCAACTGGAGTGGAAGAAACAGAAGGGACCATCATACAGAGAGTTTAAAATCCACCTCCACAAGTTTCACATCTTCATTACACCATCTCAGAAATTCAGCTTCATACCCTGAGAAACATTTCTGACACAAGAAAAACATACAACTTTGTAGCAGCAGTGATACAAAAGGGAGAAGACTACAGTTATACATAATGTACAATATCATAAGACATACACACTGCCACAGACCAATCGTCTGCAGAACATTTAAAGCATGTTTGTAGTTAAGATGTTTAAGCTAAATTGAACTACAACTGCATAAATGATAACTAATATTTTACAAGCAACTTCAAAGTTGTATGAATAATTATCTGACCTTCAAAGCAGCCATGTTTTAAATGATTACTCTATTTATTTTTGAAAATATCTTAATCCTTGCTTTCTTTAAGTATCAGAGTTCCTAGACGGCGCCGGTGATGATGGCTGCCGTGTCTTTTGCTCCTCTCCAAGGCTGCCTTTTTTCCCACTCTGTCACAATTATTTGATTTATTGTGTTGCACTGTTGGAGGAGCCTGTGACCTACCATTTTCATTGTCATAACTACACTGTAGCTATGTACAAATGACAATAAAAGCCTTGAATCCTTGAATCCAGAGTTGTATTATTGTTGCATAATAATGCAGTAAGAAATACAAAAATGGTTTGAATATAGAAATAAAGAGAATAGATACATAAACAGCTGTCCAAAGCTATTCCTAGAGATCTACAGAAGAGTGAAGTTGCTCACCCTTGTCTCCCCGTAGTGTCTGTTATACCGATGCACCAAGTTGATAACCTGTTGAGACACACTGTTGAGGTAGAAGATAGGAGGGTATGTGTCAAGGCAGGTTGCATGGAACTGGTTACTGTCCTTCATGGTTAGTTCAGCAAATGCAACAAAGTCCTTTCCCCGCACCGCTTCAATCATCTCCTCCATCCGGCCCGGGACGACAGACTCTGCCCGGTGCTGCAGACACAGAACCAAGATAAGAGTGTAAGTGAAGATATTCTTCACTTTTAACAGTATTGACAGTAATGTTAGTATACTAACAGCTGTTAGTTAATGTAAGTGAACAAAGAACCTTTAGGAGACAGCTTGTTTGTACACTGGTTTGCATCCCAGATGTGCTTCCAACTGACTTCTTCTCAGCACTGGCCTGTGGAAAAGTGCATTCATTACACCTGATATACATTTTCTATTTTTAATTTTAATAGTGTTCACTAGACTAGACAATGTGTTTGCTCTACATGCTGCAAAACATATTGTCATTCATAGTAGTAAATAAATAAAGTATGCAATATTCACAATAGATGATCAGTGCAGTTCAATCAGGACAAAATTATCATGAATTCACAGTTCTCCAAAACAAAAATGGACCTACCACAAGTACAAGGATTCTGAGCTCAGGCCAATGAGTCTCTGGCTCCACCTGCTGGGCTAGACTGTCCTTGCCATCATCTTTCTGTCCCATGATCCACTGCACGAACCCTCCATACATACTGCGGCATGCGCTGCCTGAGCCTTGCCGAGCAATCCCAGACAACTCCCCCTCTGTGCCAAACACCCGGGCCAGAGTGTAAACTGCAACACAAAGAAAAAAAAGGGAGTTAGAGCAGAGGAGGCTGAGTAATATGTATCTAATATCAGATAGACTGGTTATTTAAGAAAAGGCACACAATAAGATATATAGATAGATACTTTATTGATCCCAATTTGGGAAATTATTTTGTTACAGAAGCATCATCAGTGTGTTCAGACATTAAAATAAAAATACTTAAAAAGTGGAATAGAGAATTAACAACTAAAACATAAAAGTACCAATTAAATTAAATATGATATCATATCCTATATAAACAATATAAACAGTATAATAATTTTGGATAATTAAAAA